ATGTGTGCTTGTGTGTGCGTGTGTATGTGTGTGTGCGTGTGTATATGTGTATCCATGTGTGCGTGTGTATGTGTGTGCGCATGTGTGTGCGTGCGCGTGTGTGCGCATGTGTGTGCGCACATGCACAGACAAGCACACATACACAAACACATGGCACATATATACCAGATCGTGTATGCTTGGTCTATGCAGTATACACACTCTACAGTGCACCTGTGTTTCTCATATAAGAGAGTCTAACACGGTAAGTATCCCCATCATTAGACACAGTAATGTCATAATCCATAGCCCTACATTCCAGGTGGAGGAGTGGATGGATGGATGACAGGATTGGAAAATCAGTATAAGTTGCTAAACATATAGAAAAGTTTCCATGAGAAGTTTTAGGTAAAAGTTGTGTTATACCCAGACTCATACAAAGATATCATAGACTGTTTCAAATACATTTAATCTCCAAAGAGATGGTTTCTCAAGCAGGTAGGAAGCTCTGTTTCTAGAACTTTTTTGAAAGCGTCATTTCAAACAGACCTGCTCGTTCTGATCCGATGTTTCGCAGGTGGTAGAAGATAATTGCAAGCAATGACCGCATCTAATTCTGCATAGCGAGGCTCACCTCTCCGAAATTCAGACAAGGTTTTAGCCCATCCTTCTGCCCTCTGCACCAGACCCATGATGAAAGGCAGACACCACGGGGCTCTACTCATAGGGAATCAACATCACACGCCCCTTTCATCTGCCCCGTTCCCAGAAACCTTGCCAGGCGCTTCTCCACTGCGGCTCTGACCTGTCCCCTCTTGTGAACAAAGCCAGAAACAGGAAAGTAACTTATTTTCTGGCTCAGATAGGAGTGCCATGTAAGACTCTCCTTCTGCTTTGCACAGTTTGTCGCAAACATGCTAGTTTAGGAAAGCCGGAAACTAGGAAAATCAATATGGGAATAACTTACTAACTGGAATATGAAGGGATGGTGAGCGCTGGGGAATACCCGTGAAAATGGGTGTGTCTCCTGTCACGTTTTTAGGGGACCTAAGTTTTCTTGTTAAATTTCCATTGTGACACCAAAATATTGCATATTCAGTGGATAAAAATCAAAAGAGAAACTTCAAAGGGGAAAGTGTCAGACACACGGTCGTTCTAGAGGTCATCTAGCTCGGCATTGTAGGTTTACCGCCCGCAAGATTTACCGGGTCACGATTCCAGGTGAGACCCCCCCGACCCCGGGCAAGTCCTGGCTTTCGTGCCCACCCGACAACAAGCACAAGGCACTTACTGCGGCTGGTGGCGTGCACGGGCGTGAAGTGCAGGGAGGCCTTGGCCCCCTTCAGGCGCGTCTGCCCCCAGTATGCGATGGCCTGCAGCTCCACGGTGTAGCCGTAGTCCGGCTGGAGTCTGTCCAGGAGCACAGAATTCTGGGACTGCAGAGAAAGACAAGATGCGCCAAGCCCGTTACAAGCCTGCCCTGCCCGTCCTCTTCATCCTGAAGCCAGATGGTCCTCGGGAAGCACACATCCACCTCTACCCGGCGTATGCCTTCATTCTCTAAGGTCACACAGTTCTCCTCATCTTGAGCATCTGAAAATGCAGTTTTACTCTGCGTCCAGATAAATTTTACAGAATGGCCAAACATATTCTTTGGAAACGGTTCCTTATCCTAATTACTGGATCCTCTCCGATACTATAGAAATGAGTAATTCTGTCGCCTCCCATCCTAGACACCACTTCACGGAGAAAAGAGACGGGTTTGTCATAACCTGACAGAAGCTCATGTTGGCACATACCTGGAAAAATTATGAATTGACGTTCACTATTTCTTTAATATTTCTTTTAAATCTTCTCTGAGTGACTTTCAATCAAAAGTAGTAGGAAAAATCATCCTAAAAAAAATGCTTCAAGATTTTTTTGTCATCATTATTGTTAATACCAAGCACTCATCCAAGCATGTGTGTGTGACCTGCAGCATTAAGTGAAGCTGGAGGCCGGACAGGAATTCTACTAAACTCTGAGAGATCCAGTGACACATCGGAGCAAACCAGGTGTCTGATCGAGGCTCCGAGACAAGAGCACACGTCTGATAACTCTGAGTCGGGTGCTTTTTCAAGGGTTACAGGAAAACAGGATAGGAAACGCCCTTGCAAGACCTTGTAATGAAGAAAAATCAGGTCGTGCATCTTACCATGCAAACATTTGTCAAACTACCATGCGTGTGATGAGATTCAGAGCTCCTTGACTATAGGCTTGCCAAGAAACAGTCTAGGTGGTGGTCCTGACAATTACGAAGGACAGGAAGTGCACACCGTTAACACAACTCCAAACGGCAGGCCACCGGCCGCACGCACTTCCCAGTGGGGAGTATTTCCAGTTTTCTGCATGCAGTGTCCTTGCTGCAGGAAGAGTATCGTCTGGAATCATCAAGCACTGAGTCACATAAGTAACTCCTGCGTTTAAGTTCCACAGTCACCTGGTCACATTCGGATCATAATTTCAGGTCTCATCAGATCTCTTTTCAGCAAGAGAGCAGGCTTTTCATGTGCATGTCAGAAGCGTGAGCATAACGCTCACTGTGAATTACAGATGGCTTCGCTTTACGATTTGGGCGTTTGAGGGGTGAATGATCAGATCTCGGCCATCGTCATCTGTTTGGCTCTGGAAGGCTGATGGCTGAGCCGCAAGTCTGAGTGTCAGACGCCAGGCCGTGGCTACCTCTCCGCGGGGAGGCAGGGCCCATGCTCTGCCCTGGTGCCACCAGAGAAACCCTCTCGGTGCCTCGTGGTGGGCCGTCTACCTCTCTGATAGTGTGTCTGCATGAACTACCAATTCTCACTTTCTTCTACTGGGGGTTTCCTGTCGGATGGCTTATCACTCTCCCCAAACTGTTATCTCCTGAGGAAAAGAAAATGCACTTTTGAAAGAGCATCCCCTTGAAAAATCCCCCTCTCTTCTTATTTACCAAGGACATCAGAATGGTATCTTAGTGAATGGGAACCTATTGATCCCCAAAAAGGACATTTCATAATTTCTCATGTTCTTTCGGATTTCTCCAGTTTCTAATCCTCATCTCAGTTGCTCAGATTTTAACATTGAGAATTTAGGGGTCCACAGGACCTATAGCTTGCCTACAGTGGATCCAAGAACGTAAGTCACTCCTGAGATAGTGACCTACAGTTTTGGCTCACCTGGCCTATTAATGACTTCAAGAAAATCTGCAGTTCAGGTTTTATTTATCTAACTGATATAGAATAGAAATAAACTGCGAAGTTTCCTAGTAACCCGTGATGCTGTTTGCTGACGGATGACATCCGTGTGTGTGTGCACACGTGTACTGTGTGTGCGTGTGTGCATGTGCGTGCAGACCCCATATCCACAGCACAGGTCACATTTTGCTTCCAACCCCTATGATCCCACAACCTGAGCTCCTTTAAATCTTCCTATGACATAACCAGACGCTGCCAATTATCGCTTATTGTGAAGTCCGTGAAAATAGAGAATGGGACTGTTGGAAAGTTTCTTAAAAATAAAACCAAAATAGGCATCAGCTAAATATCGAGGATACGGACTTTTGGGCACATGTTTTAGAACGCTAAATGGCACAGAAATCGGAATCTTCACTGCCAAAAAAAAAAAAAAGTCTTGTTATCCTTTTTAAAAAATACTGTCAAACATGTATTTTTTATGGAATTCAGCCTTATAAATTAGGGGGAAGTTGTTTATGTAAGTTTTCTAACAATAAAGGAAACCGAGGAACTCCTTTCTCTGCACTAAGAATTTCATACAATGCCAAATGTTCACTCTCATAGAAATCTCATTTCAGAAAATGGTTCAGTGGAGACTTTATTTCTTGGCATCTGGAAAATAAACCATTCCAAGTTCTTTTAATCAATGCGAACAATATATTGTCAAACATGCATTTTCTAAGCTGATTAGCTTATGAGGAAAATCCCCTGCGACAGGAAAGACACGGACATTTGCTCGTCGATTTATAAGGATCTCAAACAAAACCAAAGAAGATGTAAATGTAAAAGACATTTTGAGTTCTATAATTTTCTATGACTGGACAGTCAAGACAAAATGATTTCTATTCCTCTCCTGGAGTTGTGGCTGCCATTTGGATAGGAGTAGGTCAATGGGCTACATTCAGCTATTTTCACCTAAAATGCCAAAGGCAAAACTTCTGGAATGGCCCTCTGTTCTCTGTACTTCCTCAGCCCAAAAAGAGGGATGGGAAGCTTTCTTTCACCCATTCCTTCTCTGAGCTCAGCAGAGGCCACCCTCCGGTCTGTCGCCTTGAATTCAAGTACACCGTGCAAGAAGACGCCACTCTTCCCTCTCGCGCCCACTTACCCCATCCGTGGTCTTTCTCCGCTTCTTTTTTGTGGGGACAAGGGATTTGCCGCTGACCGTCCAGCTCCAAAACACCTTGTAGTGGTGCACGGGGATGTCGGGTTCCTCGGGGAGATCCCAAACCACAGCCACGGTCACGGTGTTGTCACTGTTTACGGTGGAATTTGCAAGCCGGAGGTTGGCCGGCGCGGGCGGTGCAGATGGATCTGAAATCCAGGAGAAAGACAAACCACATACTCTAGTACCAAGGTGACAACAAAACCCATATCCTTGTATGGCTAACGACTACATGGTCAACACGTGAGCGCTGCCCTTTACGTGTAGAAAAGCTGAAAACGAATACAACCCCCTCTGTAAGCCTCAAATGAAAATACGGACTACAAAACAGATACATTGTTTGGGCCATATGTGTAATCCAGAAGGCTCCTGGTAGGCATTTACATAACCACTATAACCCAGCTAAATTTTCACTGTACAGAAATGGGTAAGTTTGTATAAAACATGGTAAAATTTGGGGCACCTGGGTGGCTCAGTCAGTTAAGCGTCGGACTCTCGGTTTTGGCTCAGGTCATGGTCCCACAGTCATGAGATCCAGCCCATGCCGGGCTCTGCGCTCAGCACAGAGTCTGCCTGGGATTCTTTCTCCTTGTCCCTCTCCCTCTGCCCCTCCCCGCTTGCGCGCTCTCAAATAAATAAAATCTTTAAAAAAAAAAAAAAGAAATGGTAAAATTCCATTTAGGCTGGTTGACATTAAATAGGTCAGCAAAGGAGACCTGCGCTTGAAAACTCTGGAAAGAAAAAGATAGAAATCCAGCTCTCACAAGTAATTGCTTTCATCTTGGTGGCCCTGTAGCTTTTGATCCTTGCTTCAGCAAGAGCAACAAGGGAGATCAGCAAAAATAAAGCATTTTTTCTTAATCTGCATTACAAATCGGATGACATACGGATAACATCCATTTTCATAATTTCACCATTTCTTACTTGTCACATAAACCAAAACCTTCTCAGCTGTCAAGAGACAGACTAGGCTCTGGAATTATTACCCTACAAATCTCCATTTTAAATATATCTAACAAAGATGACTACATATGCACAAGCTAGACGGGCTTTCCTTCATTCTCTGCCATGAAGTGAGCAAGTGTAGATGCCGCTCACCACAAATTATTTACAGATGGTTTTGTTTGAAGATGTCTTCCCAGAAAAATGCTGTCAAGAATTCGAATTATAATACCATCTGCATCAGAAGTGCAAAGAAGTTGTATCTAACTTGATATAAATGAAGAAGACCGAGGGAAAAATACCCGTGTTTTTACTGTCAGGACCGTTTGTGATTTGGGAATGATGAAAACATGAATTATTTTTAAAAATATCTTGCTTTTTTTCTCTGAGATATATAGGGAAGGGCTGGAGGTTTGCTTGACTGCTTAGTTTTTAAAAACGAGAACATTTCGTAGTTGCTTTTTCAGGTAAGCGCCTAATCCAGAGCACGTTTCGTGATACTGTCGATTGGGCGGTTCGGCAATAGTCAACTTCAGGAACCTTCAGGGAGCGCCCAAGACATACACTGGGATGCGCCGATGGGGTGAGTCCCAGTGGGGCCCCTGTATGCGTATGTTTTATGTATTTACATAAATATGTATCTGTAGGTTTTATGTAAGCTATTTTCCACGTAAAATGCACACATAATTCTGAAGTAGATGATCTCTGTGCAGGCTACGGCTTGGAAAGGATTGCACCCGAGGGCCAGAAACAGGAGGTGCGCACATGACTCAGTTGTGCGTAAGCTGGAAGACGCTGGTTTCCCTTAGCCTGGGCAGGGGAAGCACCGGGTTCCTTGTGGTGCTGGCTCAGCCACCGAGAAGCCCCACTCCCATCGTCCACACGGAGTGACACCGCTCATCAGCACCTTCTCTTTGAGTCATAGTCTCCACTTGACACCACTCTGCTGAATTTCCCTTCGGTCCCGCAGGACACGGATTCTCTTCTCACGCTCCACAACCCCGCCCCCCGGTTTGTCCCCATGCCACCATCTCTAAACAGGA